CTTGGTTGGGACCAGATACCACTTCTTAGGACCTTAAAGTTGGCTTGCAAGGCGTCTACATTTTAAGGGCAGAACTTGGTGGTCAGCCAGATCTGTTGCAATGTCTGTTCTCCCAGTGGGGACCATAGGTCAGTTTCTTATTTATAAACCCATGTTGAAGGGGCTAATGAGGAAAACTAGGATATAGTGGGGAATACAACCAAGGCTGTGAAGGTCATTGTAGCATTTAATTTCGAGTTTAGTATCAGTTCGAAAGGCGAAACGTGATGAAGCAAATTGCATGGTATAATCTTAAGTAGCAAATAAGTTCCTTGTGAGGAATATTGTATTACTCTTGGATCTATTGGAATATATTTGTTTGTTAAGGGGACACATCTTCGTACATATTACTTATATTCTATTCAATTGAATAATTGTAACCACCCTGCCTATTACATGGGATAAAGTCCATTGCTCATGGTTCTGTGATAACACAAACACCTATTCTATTCTATTCTTTTTTTTATATTTATTGTATTAGAGGCTGCATTGTCTACTCTATGTATAAATGTTCAATGTTGATTATTCCATGGAAAAATCCATTTTAGCAGACTTACATACCACCACTTGTATTTGAACTCACAGGCATCCTTTCGACCATTCCCTAGTTAATGATTGCTGAGTGGGAAGGTCTTCCTACTAGAACTACATGAACAGTCCTAGTCTAATAAGAGACACACCTATGGCAACAACAGAGAAATAGCCACATTAGTGGACAATTAAATTTTAGGGGAGCAGTGTGCATGAAGAGTGTATGAAACAGTAATTTTCTATATTTTCTATATTTTGATATAGTATAGCACAGAGCATTTACTTATTCACACAACTTTCATGCAACATTTTCATTTTTTTTTTTATAAATCTTGGGCGGAAAGTGTGTGAATCTTCAAAAATAGACCTCATAGTGTTTCCTTGGTTTGCAAGGTGCTAGCATTGCAAAGGTTAATTTTCAGGTTCTAAAATAGGCAAATATAATTTTATCTGGGGACCTTTCTAAAAGTGTGTCCAGGTCAAAAAGGGGTGATGTCAAAGAAATCAGTAGGGATAACTTCGTTTTTACAATTATAATATTATATCGGCTTTGGGAAAACTATAAAATCATGAAAGATTTTCTGCAATTAATTATGAGCAAGACACATTTTAAAGACATTTCATGCCAGCATATCATCGTCTGTTGGCATCAAACATCCTAGCAGGTCAGTGTCAAATTGCCCAAAAAGAAATGAGGCCAGCTGTCTTTTGCATCTGAATGAAAAATGCTGTGAGCACACACACCACCAGAATAAATTTGTAACATGGAAAGCAAAAAGCACAGGTACAAATGATTGCCCTTCATTAAACAGTAGAAGGACATTAATTTTTTTTTACTTTTGACAAGTGAGACTGAGGAGAGATTTAAAACTTAAAAATAAACTCTATATTGCAGAAGTCACAAGCAAACATGCAAAAAGCAATAATACATGAGCTAAATGTAGAAGAGTATAGTACCCAATCCCATTTCTGTTTTCTGAAGTCAAATCTGTAAAATAAAGCTAAATCTGTTTACTATGTGTTGCTATCCGTTTCTTACTAAATGGGTCCATATGTGTAATATATACTTCTAAGTTGAAAACTGCTTCGATGTGTAAATTAAATTTCCAATACAAGAGGAGCATTTTCCCACTGCAATATAAACTGACTACTATTCCCTGCTGCTACAGACACAAGCAGTTTTTCAAGGCTAAGAAGCCAAATAGCAGCATGAGGCACACTCCAAGGATAGTGCCAGACTTGAAGCCTAGTAGCCCCAGATTCTGGGGAAGAACACAAGTGCAGTCTAATCTCTACCAGACTGATGTACAGCAACCTCAAATGATACAGATTCCTCCTCCTTCCAGAAACAATTGAGTACTGACATGATACTTTTTTTATTTGCACTAACATATAATTTTGAGGACAAGCTTTCAGGGTATGTCCCCTTCTTCAAGGTGCAGGCAGTACCCATGGGTACTGCCTAGACCTTGAAGAAGGGGACATACCCCGAAAGCTTGTCCTCAAAATTATGTTAGTGCAAATAAAAAAAGTATCACGTCAGTACTCAATTGTTTCTGTCGCAAGTACACTAATACAACTACAATCACCTCCTCCTTCCAGGAGAGTCTTAGGAGAGCCCAAATAAAAGCAGCACAACAGCTCAACTTGTAAACACAACCACTAAGCCTTGATGGCCTCTGTGAGTTAAGGTGTGGCCTCTTCTGAAGCTGAGGAATCTATAAAAACCCTCATCAAGGCTCTACTGACAAAACCAGACGTCAGGCCTTCAACACCCAGAATACAAGTAAGACCTTATGGAGGTTTGTGAGAAGCTTACACAACTAAACGCACAGATTAGGAGTAACATCTGCATAAGAGAGCTTCTAGAGGCCACCAATGGGACTTGCCTGAGATAAATGGAACTCAGCATATTTCTAGCTCCTAGAAAAAAATAGATCATTTGGGGGGGGGGGGGGGGACTGGTTGAAGTTACCATATATAATTAATATCAGGGTTGTAATAAATGTTAGAGTTACATTATGTTTCTTTGATGCAAGGGTGTGCTGTCATGTATGAAGTGTAAGATGTTAATTTGGCCAAACACCCACTTATCACAGTTTAGATGTAAGTTTTAGTTTTTTACAAAATAACTGCACTGTCAAATTTGAATAGAAATAATTTATTTGAAAGCAGATAATGATTTATTTATGGAGAATGCATAGGGATATATATATATATATATATATATATATATATATATATATATATATATTATAGATATATATATATTCTTTTTTTAATACTAATATGGACATTTTATTTCTTTGCATGAAACTGAATACAGCTTTCCTACAAGATGTGTACCCCAAGGTGGATCCTGGGAGGAGTGTCAACTGCATTTTAGTTCTAAATGTGTTTTGCCCTTTGATGGAACATTAGATAAAACAAAAAGCCCTGGGTGGCAAGTAGAAGATAACATGGGGTATGAGGCAAATGGAAGGTCCATTGGTGGTGTGCCTCATACTGATTGTAGGATGTTTGCAGAAAAACAATTAATAAATATAAGTAAGAAAAAGTGACCCTGTTATTAGAAAGAGCAGCGAATAAAAAGCCCCAAAAATAGAATGTGTGTGCTTGTTTCATTCAAGTGACCAAATAGAGCTGCATGTGTGAGTCGCACAGGAATGCACAGCTCATTCCTGTGTGATTCTAATGTGGGCCTGGTGTGAACCAGCCCTTTTTGTATATGAATGTTGGCACTATATTTATTTTAATAAAAAAAATCTAAGTACCTTTTTTCATAATCAATATACAGCTGTCATGTGACCCAATTCTTTCCCAGCCAGTGTGCAGGTAAACATCAGTGGGAGGAGCTTCTAGTCCTCTTCTACTGGTCATATGTTAAAAAAACAGCCTTTGAAATACATAAATAATATGAAAAACTTGTCATACAAATTTATATTTAAACTAAAATCTTTACTACTTTTGTGGAGAAACATTGCATGGGCTATCTAGGGGGAGATTCTGCCAATCACAGCCTGTTTCCCTCTTCTCCAACCTGTGTCTATTGTTTGAATGTGCTTAGAATTACGGGGGGGTGATGTCTCCACCAATCAGCTTGTAATATTCCTCCCCTATAGTGTAGAGCTGTTTAATGGACATGGATGTTTAAGGGCATGGCAGGAGGAGGAGGAGGGAGGGAGTGGGCTGTCATTTACCACTGTGTATAAGGCCACACGTGTGACTCTATAACCATACTGGCTGCACAGATAAGAAAAAGGAGTAAATGTAGAAGGGGAATGAAACTTGAATATGACCAGGAACTGTGGCAATGATTGGTGTACACAATTTCAGGCTGCAGCGGGGACACAGATAAGGAGGGAGGGACAGGGAATGGAAGAATCAACCAGGTTTTCTGCAGAATACAGAAAGCAAATTCCATAGAGACTGGGTGAGTGTGATACAGCATGTAGTGACAGTTTTAACCACTTCCACGCCACCTTTTATCAGAAATACTGCTACAGGGATGGCACGTGTGCGCAGAATCATGTGTATATACATGATTTTGCAGTTCTGGGTAGGGAGCATGCTGCCATTCACGGCCTCGCCTGTCAATCAACGGGTCCAGGCTGGTGATTCTCCGCCAGCACCCGGCGATCTCCGAGTATTACAGATGGGGGAGAGACCTGTATGTTCCCTGTCAGCTCCTGCACAGTGCATAGCAGAGCCATACAAAGCAGTGTGCTTACTGTATAAAGCACACCTAGCGCACATAGTAAACAGCACACAGTCAACTGCTTGATCGCCCCACATGTTAAACCTTTCCTGCCCAGTGCCATTAGTACAGTGTCAGTGCTTTTTATTAGCAATGATCACTGTATTGGTGTCACTGGGGATGTCAGTAACACTAAGTCAGTTCCCCCCAGTGTCAGAATGCCCGCCACAGTCCTGCTATAAGTTACTGATCACTGCAGCTACTAGTAAAAAAAATTCCAGTATATATACCGCCATTTGTAAACGCTATAACTTTCATGTAAACCAATTCATTTACACGTATTGGGGTTTCTATTAGCAAAGACATGTAGCAGAATACATTTTGGCTTAAATTTATGATGAAATTTAATTTTTTTAATTTTTTTTACTGGACATGTTTAATAGCAAAAAAGTAAAAAATATTTTTTTTTTCAAAATTGTCGGTCTTATTTTGTTTATAGCGCAAGAAATTAAAAAAGAACAGGCAATCAAATACCACTGAAAGAACGCTCTATTTGAGTGAAAAAAAGGGTGTAAATTTCATTTTGGTGCAGCTTTGTATGACTGCACAATTGTCAGAGTAACGCAGTGTCGTATCGCAAAAATTAACCTGGTCAGGAAGGGGGGGTAAATCCTCTGGAGGGCAAATCGTTAAATGATATGGGTTTATTGACACATTAATTTGTTTTTCTTAGGGTAAGTTCAGGGGCGGACTGACAACTCATGGGGCCCCTGGGCAATAGGGGATCATGGGGGCCCCTGTGTCCTTGCCCAAACTCAAAAAAGCCTATGAAAAAGGTACCAGGGGCATCTCATGGGGCCCCCTACTGACCCCGGGCCCTCGGGCAGTGCCCGAGTTTCCAAATGGTCAGTCCACCCCTGGGTAAGTTGAGTCTGCCAGCATCATTTTAATCAGAGACAGTGAGCCCACTGTTTTTGGCAGCCAAGGCCCACTCAGTAGAGTACTTCAGCTAATTGATAGAACTACCACCATCCACCTGTAGTTTGTTTTTTTGGTTGTTTTTTTAGAACCATATTGATGTCTCCTACATGTGCCATAGCCATAGATCTATCGTATCCAAAGTGATTATTTCGTTAAATGTAAAGTCACACACCAATAAACCAATTAAAAGAGACATATCTATTGAACAGATTTTCTTTACATTCCCATTACAAAATATCCTGTGGTGCGCTCAAAACATTTTCCTACAAACTTCATAACCAATCTAAAGTTTTCAAATATGCTGCAGAATGCTTTGTAGCGTTACCCCTGTAGGAGTCACTGGAGAGATACCCAGGGTCCTTTTCCCAATAGTTGCCCAACAGCCAGGCACACGGTCACAATCATTCCTTTGGCTCAATGAACAATCCAGGGGTATTCTCTTTTTTGGTCTAAATAAAATGTCTTGCGCCTAATCTAAATAAATAAGTGTTCAAATTATACAAGCATATCATAAACATATACCCATAAATATACTGTAATTATTCTGTAGAATGCAAAGTTCATGTGAAACAAATCCCATCCAAATATTAACAAGTGTTGATATATTGGACGGTGTTTAGAAGACATTCACATTGGATGCAACCAGTGACATCACCAGTGCATGCTCTCTGAAGAGACGGCATGCCGTGCCATCCCTTCAGAGCTCTCTGCTGTAAACCATCACTCCCATGCACATGCGTGGGAGTGACCTCATCACGGTACGGGTATTCAAAGGACCGGAACCAGTGAACTTGGAAGGAAGACTTTTGGAAAATGGGAGCCCTGTCAGCCAGCAGTGACAGTATTTCGTAATGTACTAGTATGTACTGCATACTAGCACATTATGCTATTGCCTTGCAGGGGATTGTTAGGGTTTTTTTTAATGAAAGGCAGAGGTTTACTACTGCTTTAACGTCACTGCTTCTTCTATAAACTGAAATGAACCCTGCAGTTACAATCCCAGAGTTTCTCCTCTGGACAGAGCAGGTTTGTAGTTCTTCAAATACATTAAAAGAAGCTAAAATGGGTTTTGGAGTAATTGCATGCAAGAGCATTGTATATTTCATCATAATCTATCATTATGAATATTGTTAATTTGTAGCAATGACTTACACATAGACACAGCAAAAATCTGTAAGTGGAGAGAAGATGACCATTGGTCAGACCACAGGGGACCCTGGTGCAGAATATAGGTACCAATTTGCAGGGTCTAACTGCTATTTTGCTAATGCCAGCAGCATAGGGAAGATGTAAAGCTGAATTATTCATTTTAGCTACACTTTAATAATTCCATCTAATTGTCCGCATTATAAAAAGGTCAACATCATATAATACTGAAGTGTTTAGTGTCAACTGACACCCAATACATCTCTTTACTACCTTTTATTGTCCTTGGAGTGGGTTCTAGAAGATATATCCACATTGCATGTACATGTCAATTAAGCCACATGGATGAGCTGAAGCAAGGATGTACAAATGTAGGTGTAACCAGAACTGCTGTTACTGAAATATACAGTGCCTTAAACATATTATTGTAAAATTTCCTAAATGCTGGTCCCATTTTCTGTCACAAGATGGAGATAGTAGAAGCCTTGGGCTCCTGATTTTCAAATATAGGACACTGAGTGCTGGGAGATGTAGTCTGGGCCATAATCAGTGTCATTGCAGTTGCTGAAAAAGAAACTACAAGCCCCAAATGTACCTGGTGGCAGGAGTCCAAAGCAAGGGGTATGAATGGAAAAGCCCGGGGAAACAGCGGGGATTGTTGGGAGATCACCGCTAGTCAGAGCAGATTGTGGGGAGCTGCTGCTGAGAGAGAAGAGAAGAGAGAAAGTTAAGGAGAGCGGTTCATGGCTTCATCGATAAGCTGTCGGTGGGTCTGGAGAGTAGCTGGCTATTGCTACAGATTGCTGGACTGAGACGTGTAAAGTGTCTGCACCTGTCTGCTGCCACTTGATCCTGCTCCAAGGCCTGTCCATCTACTACCAGGAGAACCAGGGCATACAGCACTGCATAATGATTTGGGTTCTCTCCTGCTCAGATCTGCTTCAGGGACACCAACAGACTGTCACTGTGCTAGTGGGATTGCCATTCCCCAGATCTCTAAAAGAAGGCACCAGGAATTGTCATCATGCCCAACGGGGTCTGCTGCACAAGACCAGAGGAAGCTGGTGAGCGGGGCATTGACCTATTATTGTCCCATTTGCTGACACTGTGTAGATCCTTTGTGGAGCTTGATCATCATTCGCCTTCCCTAAGATTGCATTTTCCCACTATTAAGCACCACAAGTCCTATTTGGCTAGGACCTACCCCACAAAACCTTAACCCATTGCCTGGCCCCTCCCACTCCAGTGTTCTAAGGAACCCATTATTTTCTTAAAATGAATTCACTGAGTTCAGGATTATCCAATGCCAATAAGTGTGCCAACTTCTTCAAAGGCCCCACCATACCTGGCAGAAGACTGAAGAAGTTTTAGGAGAGTACATAGTTCACTTCCTGTTGATGGCAGTTACCATTACCTCACTATTTTCTTTCACATGAGGCCTAGGCTTAGCTCCTTCATCACAAAAGCACATAGGCAACTTATCCTCAAGTTGTGTTGATGCCTATCCTGGTTGCCTGTTGCTGCTCATTTAGTGAGTAGAGCTACCATTTATGCTGGTCAGATTTGAGTTTACTTCATAAACTAAATATCTGAAGAAATCTTTTGTGTGTTGTGTATGCATATTTTTTCACTGTCTTGCCCTGTGTTATCTGATAATTACTTGACAATACATTCTGTTATTTGCTACAATGTCTCGAGTCTAATTTCAGGGTGACCCTAAGATATTGTGACTGAGGTATCAGTGGGGCTGAGGCCTTTACCAGGATCAAAGTAAGAACAGAGGACCTGACATAGCCAGTGACTCCTGCAGGGGTAGAGCTACATAAAAGAAAAAAAAGAAAAAAGATGTAGGAGAGAGAATCTGGTATGTGGCTACACATCCATATGCCCATATTTTCATATTGTTGATATATTGTTTTATATATTTAAATGATCTGTCTACGCTAACAGTCAACAATTAACATTTTAATATTGAGTTCAGCAGAAATGTAATTCAACCATTATAATGTTGTTAATATTTCTTTCATTTTTTTACGGTTGTAAAATTAGACCAACCAAAGTGACAATGACATCAGAAGGACCTGCTGGATTTTTAATGGTCCCTCCTGCTTTCCCTGTTAGGGACCTGCCTGCAACCAGAAGCACACTAATTCCCTGATGGCAACTGACAGATGGACTTTGAGGCCTCCAATCTTCTTTTGCAAAGTACATTGGCTCAGTTGTCAAGGGAAGTTTTGGGCTGTGCAATCTAATATTTCCCATTTAAAAATAGATTATTTAAGAGCAACTAATTGGTGGCCCTAGATACTGCGGTAGAAGCCTAGTACCAATAGGAACTGGTCTTCAAGCCCCAGCAGTCACAGATACCCTAATGAGCTGCGAAATTAGGTCTCCATGTTATGTCCATCCGTCAGAAACTTCCCCTAAGTGCTCCTGGATATGATTCTGAATAGCAGACTCCTCTGAAGATACTCCAGCAGGCCATCTTCCTGATTCTCTAGGTCCTAATGCAGGCCAACATAAATTCAACAATCTCTATTTGATTCATTAAGACTTTTCCATAGTCTACTTATACCTGATCTGCTGCAGTCATAATTATTTATATTATATAGGCACAGTCACATACTTCTTGAGTATATCTATTACTGTTGAGCTGCTAATATGCACATCAGTTGTTCTCCTGTTGCAATAAAAGTATGGAAAGTTGTTAGTTGCAGTTGCTTAAAGAGTATGTAAAGGCGCTTTTTTAAGTTTTGAGGTTAGGAAGGGTTAGACCCTCTGCCAAGATTATGGAAATCCTCCAGGAAGGACACCTGTTCCTGTGACAACACATTTTAAGATGGCAATCACTTCTGAAAGGTTTCCTTCTGGTTACTATTGCATCTTCTCAGGTGTAACTTGATAGGGAGATTAATTTTAACCCTTCCCATCTCTATCTAAAACTAAAAAAGAGAATGCACTTCGCCCAGAAAAGTTTTGCAATTACAAATGTTTAGACATTCTCATATTTATTTCTTTTTTTGTATTGGTATGACACAAACATGTGGAGAAACAAAAAGCCAAATCTGACACATTCCACACAAAACTCCAGAAATGGACTGGACAAAATTATTGGCACCTTCTCAAAATTGTAAGAAATAATTGCATTCCAAGTTTGTGATGCTCCTGTAATTTGTAATTAAAATCACCTATATCAATTAACAGGCGCTGACAATATAAAAATCATACCAGCAACGAGTTAAAATGGTGAAACATTGACTCAACTTTTCTGTTGTGCGTCTCTGTGTGCCACATACATCGCGGAGACGAGAAAGAGCAGCAAAGAATTGTCTGAGGATTTGAGAACAACAAAAATTGTGGAAAAGCATGGACAATGTCAAAGTTACAAGTCCATCTCCAGAAATCTTAATGTTGCTGTGTCCACTGTGCACAACATTGTCAAGTAGTTTACTGCCCATGGCACTGCAGCTACTCTCCCTGGACATGGACGAAAGAGAAAAATTGATCAAAGATTGCAAAGAAGGATTGTTCAAATGGTGGCTAAAGAACCTTGATCAGCTTCCAGACAAATTTAAGCTGACCTTCAGGCACAGGGTACAACTGTGTCAGCTCCCGCTATACGTTGCCATCTGAATGCCAAGGGAGCCGGAATGCTGGATGAAGTAACCTGACAACGGGTGCTCCTGAAGAGAACAGGGTGGATAAAAATTTACTTATTGTTTTACTGTGTAAACATTAGAATCCTCTCCATCTGAGAAACTGACACTCCTGCTTGGGCAACTGTTGTATGGAGAACTTTTATTGACCATTTGGAA